AGAAATGCTAAATAAGTATCATTTAAGGATTTAGAATGGAGTGCTGAGAGGTCAAGTAACACATTATCGGTCATGTAGTGAGCTATAAGTGAAATGAAAAGACGTTGCTTGTTTTCCTCTTTGCCATTTAGTCTGCATATTCCTTTTGCATGTGGCATTTCAAATTAAATGAAAACTTAAGGGATATAACACTGTTAATCCCTCAAAGGAAAGGATCTTATTTATTTTTGTCTTCCCCATAGCATTCTGTAGACTATCTTTCACTTAGAGTCATTTAAATATTTGTTGCTTAATTATGCCATATATTTGATATTAATTTGTGGCCTATTAAATATATATATAAATCAAAGGGCTTTAAAAAGCAGATTAAAACAGCACTATAAGACGTCAAGTTATCCCTAAAACAGAATCTTTCTGAAATTAGAAAGCAAAATCTATTAACACAGGCCCTAAACTTTAGTTATCCTAGCTGCCATTGGTGCTATTAAAATGTACAATGCATAAAACTCTCTCTCTCAAAATGTTGTCATGAGCCACCAAAACCATTGAACAATGATTGAACAAACATGATTGAACAAATGCAATCCATCCATTAATTCCCTAAATTTCCCCTCTCTGAACTTTAGGTAATCTTCAATGTTTTTAACTGCAAAATAATACACAAACATACTCATGTTTGAAATTCAAACATCAAAAGTAAATGGAGGAAAAAAGTCCTATTTTCCTACCTCCCCATATCTTCCTCCAACCTCTTTTCCTACCCTTACATCAATGTAAAAAAAAAAAAGAAAAGAAAAAAACTTTGTATTTAATAATGTAGGGTTTCATTTTCTTTTTGTTCTCTTAAAGGTTGCTCCCAGGTAGAAAATGTTAACCCAGACAGCTCTTAAAGGGCCTAATTTGAAGGAACTACTGAATCCCCAGATTTAGAAATAGTTGTTTCTACTTTCAAAAAAAAAAAACCTCTAAAAGTATGAATTGTAATTTCTTTATGTCAAGACTAAGTCAGATCAGACCTCAATGGAAAGTCACTAACCATTTTATTATAAAAATTTTATCGGGGAGCATAGTAAAGTAATACTATAATAATACTAGCTGAAATTTACCAAGAATTTACCAGGCACCAGACACTGTTCTTAGTGTTTCATAAGATTTTCTAAAATCAAATCTCTATCTGTAAAATTTTAAGATACAGCATGTTATCATCAATGCCTCTGCTCATAATGTCTTGAATATGTATATATTTCATAATTTTGTTTGATGCAATACTATCTTGAACTGAAAAATGATAACTAACAGTACTTCAAGTCTGAGAATTCTACAAAAGAATCAGTGGGTTACTAAAGTCACATATTAAAGCAGTGGTAGAGCCCATCTCTGGATGGGCTCTTTTTTTTTTTTTTTTTTTTTTTTTTTTTTTTTTTCTGGAGACCAAGGCCATGGGGCCAGAGATGAGTCCGTTTTAATTGCTGGGGAGACAGGGAGGGGCCTTAGAAATGGCTCCCTCCCCCCACCCCACGTGTCCCATCCAGTTTAGACAGGAAGCCACTTTCCCTACAACAGTTCATTGCTGGGATCCTCTGAAGAGCTGCTGTGGAGGGCAGCCGCCAGACGAGGGCACAGGGCCTCAGAGGACGCTGATGCGCTCTGTCAGCCCCTGCATGTCGTGGTCCTGTGGTGGATGGGCCCCAGCGAAATCCCTGTCCGTGGGTGGCCCGGACCCGGGCAGCGGATGTTCTGCCACAAACTGCTCCCAGCGCGCGTCGTCACTCTCGTGCGTGATGTATCGCTCGCCCATCTTCCCCTCCAGTTCTCGGAGATCCAGCCACGTCTGGTACTCCTGTAACCAGGGATGGCTGAGAGATTTGTCCACACTGTAGCGTTTGCGCATCTTCACCTGCAGCAGGTTGTTGATGAGGTCGATGGCTCCAGCTGAGATGTGGCTCCAGGGGGTAGCCGGGTACATGAAGGCAGCATTCTGGATCTGGTCATTGACCAGAACGTCAAAGAATAACAGATGTTGGGGAGGCTGCAGAGAAAAGGGAATGCTACACACTGCTGGTGGGAATATAAATTAGTTCAGCCACTGTGGAAAGCAGTTTGAAGATTTCTCAAAGAACTTAAAAGAGAAATACCTTTTGACCCAGCAATCTCATTGCTGGTTATATACCCCCAAAAATATAAATCGTTCTATATAAAGACCAGGCATGCATATGTTCATTACAGCACTACTGACAATAACAAAGGCATGGAACCAACCTAGATGCCCATCAACAGTGGACTGGATAAAGAAAATATAGTACATACACACCAGATAATATGACAGTCATAAAAAAGAACAAAATCATATTTTTGCAGCAAGATGGATGTAGCTAGAGGCCATTATTCTAAGCAAATTAATGTAGGAACAGAAAACCAAATACCAAATGTACTAACTTATAAGTGGGAGCTGAACATTGAGTACAAATGGACTTTAAGATGGGAACAATAGGCACCAGGGCCTACTTGAGGGTGGAGGTTAGGAGAAAGAGGACAGAAAAACAGCCTATCAAGTACTATGCTCATTATCTGGGTGATCAAATAATTTGTATGCCAAACTCCCACGCAACGCAATTTACCCATGTAACAAACCTGCACATGTTCCAAACCTAAAAGTTGGAAGGAAAAATAAAAATAAAGCAAAACTTTGAAAATAAGGTTATAGACGGTCAGCAAAGGGTGGGTTTGAGATGTTTGGGTAGGTTAAGTGGTCATTTTGATGACATGGCTTCTCCTCTGGCACGTTTAATTGTGATGTTTAATGAACATCCTTGCAGTCTAAGATGACACTTCAAAAATAGTCTATAATAATAATACGAAGAAAAGAAAACCTAATCCAAAGATCATGCTCATGAAGCTCTGAAATGTCCCAGCAAAACCGCAAAAACCTGACTAGTGATCAGTTGGTCTAAAGAATACTATTAATAATAAAGTCCTTAAACAACAAAAAATTTTAACATGGCAAGTATTATTGGCATATAAAATAATATTCCACATGAATGATATCTCACTACATTTTATGGTGATAAACTTAGTGATCCTTTATACACAGCTGGAGTATTTACTAAATAAATAAATAAATGTCTAAAATTATAGTGCCATCTGCAGGCAAAGAAAGTAGTATCAATGATACATTTTCATGCTTTCCTATTTTCTGATTGCTATTCAAAACTTAAAAACTAGGATTTAATAATTTATATAACTCATTTTATGATTACATTTATAGGATGTAATTTATGATAAATTGTTTTTACTACCTCATAGAGCATCACTTCATTCTCAATATAACATTAAAATGATGGCAGTAATCCAAACAAAATCAATGGTACTACAATATCCAATCTTTGTGTGTTGAGAATTATTTATTGTCAAAATATATAGCAAAAAAGAAACTTTTTAGTATTAAAAAAAATCCAAATATCCCATCATCTTAACAGGAAGGCATTTTCATTTATTTTCTTTTCTCTTTCAAACTTGCATCTGCAGACACTTATTTAACAACTAAGTGCCAGGTACTTTTTAAAGCTGCTTACATATATTAACTTAGAAAATTCTTACAATAATCCTATGAGATAGGTAATGTTAACATGCCCATTTTACAGATGTTGAAACTGAAGCCCATGAATTTAAATAACTTGCCCCAGGCTGCAGTGCTGTATGTGGCAGAGCCAGGGTTCAAATTAAGTGAGTTTTTCTCCAATATCTGTGCTTTTAATCACTATGTTAACATGTCTCTTATTTATAAAAGATGAATTCAGAATATTACTGCAGTTGTAATATATGTGTTGTACTTTAGGGGGCAACATTTTCTCATGTAACTAAATTGTTCATTGCTCTTTTGGATAATTACATATTTTACCATCAAGTTGGCACATATTTTACTTACTTTAGTTACATAATGCTGGACTTTGAATACTGTTTTTAGTGTCTTTCATTATAGATAAAAATATTGCAATAAGCAAGTTGTGCATTGCATACAGCTTGTCTTCCTTCTTTTGAATTTTATTTCCTTATGCTAACATTTTCCAAAATGGTTAAACTGGTGTAAGTATATAAAGTATCACATTACTGATATATAATGCTCCATACTGCTTTTTAAATTTCATCATTATATCTTACCAACAATGAAAGAATGCTCAGCTCTTCCCAAATCAATACATGTCTACATGACAGTCATTCCTCCCACACCCACTCTCATATTTAACTGATAGAAAAAGGTTAAGGATGACTTATAATGTGGGATAGTTAAGCCAACAAAAATTAAAATTTTCAAATGGGCACAATGTTTTCTTCCTCCAGCAACATAAAATGTGGATTTTCTGTCACATAAAATAGGATTATCTGTCACTTATGAAGTTGATATTGTCTTGATTCTATAAGTAACCCCCACACACAAAAATCAACAACATACTCAAAGTCACTAGTAAGTGTCAGAGCTAGAATCTAAGCATGGATCTGTCTAACAGCTGTTTTAGATAATATGAAAAAAAATTACAAATGATCAAGAGGATCAGTGTATGTCAAGATATAAAAATTGGATGAGAAATTTTACTTCAATTTTCATCAAAGATTATTTGTCTCACAAAGAGGTAATAGCTACTCGGGGATATCTATCACAAACAGGGGGATGGTATTTCCCTTGTATATTGTTTGATCGATAATTGCAAAAATAGGAAAGGCTGACAATAATAATCAGCAAAATATTTCATCTATCTTTCTCTCCAACATTTGCTTCACTGTGACCTAATTTCATCAATGGTCTAAGCAAGGAGCGGGAGGATATGAATATTTACAACTTTTTTCTTAAATGTTATCTTGCAGTTTTATATATATTTCTAATGGTTTTAAAAGATTGTAACTTTATGACACAGAATAAACGTCACTGAAACATATAATAGAAAAAAAAAAAAAAACATATAATAAAAAAAAAAAAAAAAACAGCCTTTGGAGTCACATGGACCTTAAATTTAGACACTGACACTTACATGTTCTCTGTAAAATTATCGTATTAAATCCTAACTTCTCAGAATGCTGTGACAAGTAAAAGAGATAACAGTTATGAAGCTCCTAACACATGGGAGGTGCTTAAGACATTTCAGCTCCCTTTCCTTCAAAGAGTGACATATATACGGTTATACCAAGGGTATCAGTTTTAAACATCATGCTTCATTATTTCCTTCAGACAAACGGTAGCATAGCATGAAGAATCAAGATCAAAAGAGATCAAAAGAGACAAAGCTACTTCATCAAGGTGGGGATCTTTCATTTTGACATCAATGTCATGATCTTCAATTAGTTGGTATGAGAGATTACGGGGATGTTTCAAAATCTGTCTATAGCATCCTGGTACATTCAGTTTCAGAGCAGGTACTTTAAATCTGCATGTCTGTAGTCCATCGCTGCTAAGTATATCATGGTACCACTGCCCTACTTTGTTCTTTGGGTACTGAATATTGTATCCAAGTATTGGAAGAACCACCTGTGAAAGAAAAGAGGGAAAAAAATATGAAAATAGCCTTCAAAAAGATATATGATCATATTTTTAATGGTACTTTTATGTGTGGGACCTGGATTTGTAAAAAGGGCCTGAGAATATAAACATCACAGTCAGTCTAAAACATGCTTTGAATAATATGCTATGATATTTTTATGTTGCTAAATAGATAATTAAAATCAAGAACTCACAATAACTAAGGTAACTGACTCAAATCAGATATTATTAGACAACCCACTATTCAAGAAGTTTAGGTATACTTAGTTAGCTGATAAAGATTTAATCTGTATAAAATAAAGCATGTACTTTCTGTAACACAAAGAGTAACCTTTACTGCTCACATAACTGGAATTTTGGTGGACAATTTTAAATTCTTATTTCTTTCAAAACAAGAAAGCAACACATACAATGTTTATTTACTTAGCTGCTTGTGAGTAAACACTGCATTTTGTAGGGTATTCTTCCTTTGCTGGAACAGTACCAAAATGTAGTCAAGAAAAGGAATAAGGTAAAAAATTCAAATATATACACTATATGAATGAATCTGAAATTCACTATGCTAAGTGAAAGATGCCAGACACAAAAGGCCATATACTGTAGTACTCCATTTATGTGATATTATTTTAAGGGCAAACCCATAGTGATAGAAAACTGGCCAGGGGCTGCCAGGGGTGAGGGATGGGAGTGGGCACAGGAAATCTGGATGGGGGAAAACTGTTCTTTGTGATTGATGTTTGTGGTGGCCACACAGTCCTACATTTATCAAAACTTGTATGTTTATCAAAGCCTGTACAACTGTAAACTAAGTAAATTTGGTTGTATATAAATTATATCTTAATTGAAAAGTTGTTTAAAAAAGAGAGAACTAGTCAACATTTTGCTTTTGGGGGACAATGTCTACACTTACATCTAAGTGATAGTAATTTTTAAGCTAACTTACCTGATGTATTGCATATGTATCAGCTGATCCCTCCTCTTCAGTTACCAGGTGAACCTAGTTTAAAAAAACATGAAAATATGAATGATTCCCAAATGTTCCAAATTCCCTCTACTTTCAATTTTCCCTAACTCTATTATATATGAATCAGTTCCTATGCTGAATATACATAGATCCAAACAAGATCTTGTCATAATTTGTTTCTGGAGCAGCAGACTACATAAAAATTAGATTGATTCTTCCTGCTTCAACCACTAACCACTTAAGTTAGATAACATGGAGAAAGGCCGGCTGCTGAAATCTGAGGCAATACCTCAATCACCAGCAATCTTTTTCTAAATCAAAAAGTTTTTCTTTATTATGTCGAATAGAAAATCTGCTTCTATAATATAAACCCACTCCCCACCCCCCACTAATCTCTGTCCCCCCAAAATATAATACTCTATACAGAACTGATGTTTCTGTGGCTGGATGTGTTCGGTCACGTCTGTAATCCAGCACTTTGGGAGGATCGCTTGAGGCTAGGAGCTTTAGACCAGCATGGACAACATAGGGAGATCCTGTTTCTACAAAAAAAAAAAATTTTTAATTAGCCACGTGTGGTGGCACATGGCTGTAGTGCCAGCTACACAGGAGACTCAGGAGGATTGTTTGAGCGCAGGAACTCAAGGCTGCAGTGAAACATGAAGGCTCCACTGCACTCCAGCCTGGGTGACAGAGCAAGACTCTGCCTCTAAAATAAAAATGAAAAAAAAAATAAAATTTAAGCAGTTGCAGTTGTGTTCTCCGAGTTCCTGTCTTTCTGCCAGCGCCGCCTGGCCGGCATCCCAAAACTGCGACCCAGCCGCCACTAGCGTCGCTGCCGCCGGTAAAGGAGCCGAGTCGAGCCGCGGCGCCGCCTGTTGTCCCACAGGCAAAAGGCTAGAGCAGGAGCTAATGACCCTCATGATGTCTGGCGATAAAGGGATTCCTGCCTTCCCTGAATCAGACAACCTTTTCAAATGGGTAAGGACCATCCATGGAGCAGCTGGAACAGTATATGAAGACCTGAGTATAAGCTCTCGCTAGAGTTCCCCACTGGCTACCCTCACAACGCGCCCACGGTGAAGTTCCTCGTGCCCTGCTACCATCCCAATGTGGACACCCAGGGTGACATATGCCTGGACATCTTGAAGGACAAGTGGTCTTCCTTGTATGACGTCAGGACCATTCTACTCTCCAACCAGAGCCTGCTAGAACCCAACATGGATACACGCATGCTGCCGACCCCAGAGCTTTTAAGAAGTACCTTCAAAAAGCCTACTCAAAGCAGGTCACCAGCCAGGAGCCCTGACCCAGGCTGTCCAGCCTGTCCTTGTGTCGTCTTTTTTTTCTTAGATAGTCTGTCCTTTTTGTGATTTCTGTATAGGACTCTGTATCTTAAGCTGTGGCATTATTTTTGTTTCGTCTTTGTCTTTTAAATTAAGCCTCAGCTGAGCCCTTGTGATGTATATTAAATAAATGCATTTTGTTCGTTTATAAAAAATTTTTTTAAGAAGTGGTATTTCTTAGCATTTGTTTCATAGAATAATAACAGGTGTCACATACAAGAGGATGTCCACAAAGCATGTCCAAAAAGGTGCCTGATAGATTAAGTATACGAAATGTTGCTCTAGGATATCACAGAATAAGTAGTTCTGCTTTCTCTTATACACGAAAGCTCAAACAGAAATGCAGCTATCCTTTCTCCAGAAGGATTCACAGCATTCTCATTGTCCTAAAGCATTCATCACTCGCTATAGTGCCTAGAGCACCTCTAAATCTGCCTGCTTTCCCCTCAACTCTCCCTAGTCTTATCAATAATGTTACTCCTTTTTTGTTTTTAATTTTTTTGTTTGTTTATTGGTTACTAACCTTTTTTAATTACTGCACTCAGAAACAGATATAAAACTCCAGATGTGATCTGATCAAAATACAAGAGACAGACTACAAAGGATTATGATCTCTCTTGCATCATTTCTCTCTTTCAGAGTCATAATTATACCTACATACTGTGATTTAAGTAATTTATGAAAACACTGAATAAACATGGTCAGGTATAAAACACCATGCTTTGTCTTTACAGAACTCCCTCCAGGTTGATATCAAGCAATTAATGGACAAACATGCTTTCCTTGTATGGCTGCTCCCAACTATAAATTCACCTAAGTTTTTAATTGTCTAACTCACATTTCTCTGTCTTGCCCATAAAGAAAAAATAAGTAAGAAAATTTACCAAGCGACTTGAAACATAGATACACCGTTAGTCTAGTAGTCCTATCAAAAGAGGGAATCAGATTAGTTTCCTACAATTTTTAATTGTAGATGCATATTACATGCCCCATATACCATTTACTAAGAATTTTATTCTTTTTCCTTTTCAAATTTTATATTTTGGACCTCTAAGTACTGTCTTTTTTCCTCATTACTAACTAATAAAATAAGTGATTCATCTTAAAATATACAGAAACATTGTTTTTGCTGCTCATAATAGGGAATTCTGCAAAATATATAGGAGAAAACGTTTTCCTTTTCTCCTACAGCTCCAAAAAGAAAGCAGATAAAATTTCAATCACAAAACTATCCTTGCAAATGTTATTCTGAATGAAGTCTTATAAAAGTCATGCATTTCAGAAATTGTTGCTGTATCTTGTGAAAGTAATCTTTAACTTCCAAAAATCTGAATTAGAAATGGCTGACTTACTAATTAATGTGCTCTCCAATATTTAAATGGACATGTTTTCTGGTAGGTATTAAGAAATGATAAGGATTTTTAATTATTTATCAAAAGGGAATCACTGACACATCTCTTCTCCCACACGAGGTAAAACCTACAATGCTAGATTTCTTTTCACACAGAGTTTGAGTCTGTAGCTCAATTAAATTACCATTGTTAGTAACATATGCTGCCTCCTAGTGGCCATTTTCTTATTTCTTTCCTATTAGATGGGTGCAAAAGTAATTGCAGTTTATGCCCATTCATCCATTTAATGAAACAGTGAAGCAGACATCTGATGTTCTGGCTCATGCAATCTTTACTCCCTCTTTTCAGTAGTAGCACTCTCATTTTCCAGGGAGCCTCTCCCACATGTCAGATGTGGGTTAGGGTCCCAGAAAGGAGGTCCAGGAATGTAGTTTTAGTCAATCACATACTGCAGTCCACACTTTCTGGTTTGGTTCTGTACATGTGATCCAGGCCAGGCCATTCCTAGCCAATGAGACTCAGTTACACAGCTTTTGTTGACACTGTTGGGGAAGAAAAACCATTTTTCTGCAGAGAAGGAAGTCTAGAGTGGTGAGAAATAAGCCTAGGGTCACTAATAACCATCTTGTCACCAAAGGTGTAAGCTAGACTGGGAATGGATCTAACAGAGAAAAGCAGAGCTGAATGATGAAAAAAATGAGATCGTTTAGGACTCTCAAGTCCCGAATACAGCTGTGCCTGAATCAATAATGGGCTTTCAATTATGAAGGCCAATAAATTCTCAGGTTTCCTTAAATTACTGTAGTTTGAGGTGGGTTTCTAATACTAAAAACAACCAAAAAAAAAAAAAAAAAAAAAAAAAAAAACCTTAATTAATACGTCTAGAACTCTGACATAAATTTAGATAAAGTTTCCTTTATGTAGAGTTAGGAGTCTGTTTTACCTCTATTTTTGAAAAACTGGACCATGTTCTAGTTCTCACTACAGACTATATGATTTTTCTAGTAGAGACCAAAATGGGCTAGGAGTCAGGCAGCTGGGTCTTTTTAATTCCACTACCTGTGTGACTCTGAATCTGTCTCCTTTCCAAGCTGGGACTCAATTTTCATTTCTATAAAATGGGAATTTAAAAAAGGATGTCTCTAAAATCCTTTTCTTCTCTAAAATTCAATGATTTTATTATGTTATATAAGAAAATATTATCCAAATTTTCACTAATTTTAAAATTTGTGAGACTGACTTATGATAAAGTTAGAGAATAATAATTTGTTGTTTTTACATTACAGTATTATCAAATGAAACCCAGTTTCATTAGTTCAAACCCACAGAGATAAAAACAATCAGACAAGAGGAAATGAAAGGATCACATTTTATAATATAAATTATATTATAATTACACTAATATAAATGTCTCTAAGACATGAAAAGGAAATTATGAATAATACCTAAAATTACATTTATATAAAAGAAATACACACATCACATGTTCCGTATACCATTTTAAAATCATATTCTTTCTCCTCTCCATATTTTAAGTTTTGGGCCACTAAGTCCCACCTCTTCTTTTCTCAGTGTTAACTAATAGAATAAAAATCAATTTTTTATGGATATTTATGTGAAAACATAGACAAAGGCCTAGAAAGACACATAACAAACAACAGAGGTTGAGTCTCCAGAGAAAGCAGAGGGAATCAAATTAGGATGATAGCAGGGATGGCAGCATAATCTTTAATGTTTTCATTTTTGTTTTTAAGGGTTGTTTTGTGCATTATTTGTGTAATCTTTTTTAAATGTGTTTTTCAAAGGAAGCTTTACTACATATATATCTTTCACTCCATACCACTATTTTTATCTTTTCATTCACCAACATGTGTTAAGCCTAAACTGACAGCAGACTTGAAGCAAGAGATGAGTAAATATAAGTAAAAATTGACAAATAAATTAAATATATGTTGAAAGTGTTTCCATAATCAGGGCTTTTGAAATTCATGTTTCTGGTATAGTAACTACTCTTGGAAAACTCTGATGAAATGATACTTACTTTACTGTTTGGGAAATTCTCGTCATCAACATCTTCATCCAAACAGACCAAATCACCCTCCACTACTCTTGCTCCATAGGTTGCAAGTCTGTAAGATACTGCTTCATTCCAAATTTTGCTAGTATATGCATGAACATAGAATATGCGCATGGAATGGGGTAAAGAGAACCATGCCTGGATACAACCTTCCTCTGTCATGCCAAAGCGATGCAATGCCTCCAACAATGCTCTCTCTCGCACTTTGAATTCAGGCATCAATGAAAGTGTGCCTTTAACATCCTCTGAAACAAAGAGTAAAGTGGATAGTCAGCCACTTTTTATTTAAAGGCCAGTTATAAAGGCTTTTGTTCTACTCTCAAACTGAGGCAATGAACATGGGTATTAAGGTGTTATTCAATACTTTCAGTTAAACCTAGCTACACTTGAAGAGCTTCTTTTAAAAGTAATAATAAGCATATTATGGCCCTACTTTCACTTTCCCTGCTATAAAAAAAAAAAAAAAAAAAAAAAAAAGAATGAGTCCAATATTAGCAAGTGCTTACTAGAGTCCCTTACTTCAGAATAGAGATAAACTAATGAAGTTATTCACAGGACTGTTAAAACAGAAACAAACAAAAAAACCTCAAGGATTACATAATTTAATTGCTTAGCTAGTAGAGACTACAGTTTTTTAAAGAGCTATTCTGGACATAAACACAATTTTTTTTTTTTTACTAAGAAAGAGTTGAGATCTGGAGCCTTCCGGCACACTATTATACCTCACAAAATGGGATGTACTTTGAAATGTAAATGACTAGAATCTACCCCAAAGATGCTTATTCAGGTAGGGCCTTGGAATTTGCATTGAAATAAATGTAGCAGGTATTTCTTATGCATATGAATGTTTAAGAATCATTACCATAAGGAAATTATCTTCTAGGGACTCTACAACAGACACAAACAAGTCACTTTGGATTTTCCTTAGTATTACTTAAATTACTCACAACAGTTAGAAGTACCTACACTGTTTTACACATTGTGGAGTGGCACAAAAATACTTCTTTCCTGTGAGTAACTGCACATATGTAATATGTACATAATTAAAGATTACAAATAAATATTTGAAAACTGACATCCTTTGTTTCAATGTAAGTGAAATTCAGTATGTCAGTCAGATATCTGAATGAATCTAAAGTGGTGTAGTTGCTGTTTTTATTATTTAAATAAAGGTAATATTTATCCATATGTAGCACATGCGAGGCATTATTCCAAGAACATTACATCCATTTTCTTATCTAAATCTCATAATACTGCTTTAGGTACTGTGATTTGCTTCAATTTACAGATAAGGAAACTAACGCAATGACGTCAAATCACTTGCACAAGATCATACAGTTGCGAAATACTAAAGTGAGAGTTAAACCCATGCAGTCTGACTCAAGCCACGCTCATAACAACTGTTCCTTAGTGGTTTTCATCAAGCATCCTATATATATTCCATATTGACCTAAAGTTTTAAACACTGACAGGGCTAACTGGCAAGTAGATTGAAAACAATGCATAATGTTTGGAAAATCATAAATGAACTTCTATTTATTTAAGTTTGCATCTCCCCAGCTGCAATTAATTATATTGTCATGAGTGCCAGATTAGAATTTGGAACTCCTCTGTCTTCAGAGGATTTCAGCCAAGAAAAACAAAGAAACTATTTTTCCCACTATCCCTACTCCTAAACAAGAGTTAGCACAGACGAAAAAACTTCCAAATCTGACCGAAAACGAAGTGTGTAAGTCATATAATGAAATTATTCAGTATGTAACATACTGTAATCTATTTCTTTCTTTCTTTTTTTTTTTTTTTTTTTTTTTGAGACGGAGTTTCACTCTTATTGCCCAGGCTGGAGTGCAATGATGCCATCTCAGCTCACAGCAATCTCCCTCTCCTGGGTTCAAGAAATTCTCAAGTAGCTGGGACTACAGGAACGTACCACACCCAGCTAATTTTGTATTTTTAGTAGAGACGGGCTTTCTCCGTGTTGGTCAGGCTGGTCTCAAACTCTTGACCTCAGGTTATCCACCTGCCTCAGCATCCCAAATTGCTGAGATTACAGGCATGAGCCACTGCACCCGGCCTGCTGTAATTTGTTTCTTATCACATTTATGTTACAATAAATGCTCTCCTCCTGATAAAACATTTGCAGGTGTATCTGTATCTGCATGGCTATGTACGGGATAAAGAAACTTAAATACCAGTTTGACGATAATACTTCTTTGCTCTATTTACAGGATCATCCAAGTCTTCTGGTGTAAGAAACAATTTTATGGCTTTCGCCTTGAAAAATCAAGCAAGTAAACATGTGTTAATAAAAATGTCAAATTACTTTTTTTAAACAAGATGCAAATTCTCTAGCATCCTAAAAGAATAGGCATTTAATAAATTATACTTGAAGCTGCAATGTTCTCTTTAGGCTTTCAAAAATTAGATAGTCAATGTTAAATGTAGAAATAAACCTCCTGCATGAAATAACTTTATATATAGGTTTAAAATATGGACTGAAAAAAGTGTTTTGCTATCATTTCCATAATTCCACTTTTGTCATTTTTAAAAATATTAATTAAAAAATGTATTGACATTCTTAGTAAGGTGTAAGAATTCTAAGAAACTTAGGCTAAACGTATTAAATCCTTATTTGTAATACTGTTTCCAAAAGCAAAAAAAAAAATAGCAAATATTATACATAGTACAACTTTTTTGTAATCATTTCAATTTCTTAACGACCCATCAGAAGAAGCACCAAGAAAACCCGGCATATTTCCTAAGACAGTGAAAACTAAGCCCTTTCTGGCCTAAAAATAAATATTAAATATTTGTTTAATATTGAAATAGATGCATTTGAAAATATTTAATATTTAAATGGCTGTAATCAGAGTAAAATTAAACCAACGTTTGTATTGTTATAGAAGGAAAAAGAAAAAAGCAAGAAAGGCCAAATGAAAAAGGAAGACAGCGTCTATGCCAAAGAGTTAAATATGGACACAGGAAATGCAAGCCTCTAAAAAGAGAAAAGATCAAGAGCCACTCTGAGGGCTCGGAAGTAGAAACTAGTGAACCCCAAAGACAACCCTCAAAGAAAAAGAAAAGAAAGAGTTTAAGTATCCAGCTTACCTGAGTCAGAAAGGGAAGAGAAAAAGAAGTAGCTCTGGAGATATAAAATACCTCGCTCCCAGAGCAAAAGTAAAGAAAATCGCTCAGAAAGGTAACATTTAAAAAGAAGCCTCAGAACTTTCCAAAGAAAACACAGCTATAACTTTCAGGTTAGGATTAAATAAATAAGTTATGTTTCAACCATTTCACAGCCACAAAAAACTTAACTGACTTTTTTATTCCTCAAAATTTAGAAGCCCTTGAAGAAGAAAATGGTACTGGAAATTCATAAAAGATAGTTCTCCCTTAAAATCAAAAAGGATGCATAAGACAAAACATAGAAAAAAACATAAAATTGGAGGTTATATCAATGAGAGTGCTATCAAAGTAAGTACACAGTATAAATTCTATTGTCATTGGCAATTGACAGAATAACCTATACTTCTGTCATCCTTTGTCTCTATTATTGAGCTAAAAATATAAGGGTAAAATAATGACATAAATCTCAGACTTGACCAAAGCTCATGATGAAAATAAGAAAGTAGCAATCAGAGGGGAAATGGCAAGCCCTTAATTTCATTTGTATGCTCAATTTCCTGAATTCTTTGGTCTTAAAAATAAATGCCAAAACCTGAATGAAAAAATTGCCAAATTTAATATTTTATTTTAAATCCCAAATAGATTAAAAGATGTTCGTTTTTTAAAAAAAAAAAAAAAAGTACTAGTTTGTATATTTTATCACTAACTCTAGCACTCAGATTTATTTTTAAAGCTTGTCTTAGAGTAGCAAAGAATCTTAAATAGGTTATTCAACCCAATTCCCCACTCACTTTTCTTTTACAGTATTTATTTACTCAAACAAATATTATTAGGTATCTACTATGTGCTAGGTACTGTGTAGAGTATTAGAGACAGAGCATTGAGTAAAAGTGACATGGTCTCTGCCCAACTAAAACTTACGGCCTACTGACAAAATTAAATAAGCAATAACAATAAAATATAAAAAAACTTAAGATGGGAAGCCCAAGATGGATACAGGCTCACAAAATACGAGGAATTCACTTTTTATTGGGGAGTAGAATGAGAATATTTAAATTGAGACCTAAAGAATATACAGTTGGGGAGAGGGTGCTTCAGGCAAAGGAAAGAAGACACAGCTTTTTAGCTGCAGGAACCAGCCTCTAAGATGCCCTTCAATGCTCTCCATCGCTTGGTCCTCGCACGTGGTGTAGTCTTCTCCCACACTTATCACGGTTGGTTGGTACGGCCAAAAGACAGAAGAAGTAAAACTAGACCACTTCTGAGACTAGGTTACAAAAGACACTGTGGTATTTGTTGTCTCTCTCCCCGTTGCATCCTTGGACTTAGCTCTCTAGGGGAGGCCATGCCACAAGTAGTCTTAAAGCAAGAAAGTAAAGTCTCCTGCCAACAGCCATGAGCATGAGCTTGGAAGTGGAAGCAGATTCTCCATCCCAGTCAAGTCTTCAGAGAGTATAGCCCTGGCCAATAGTGTCACTGCAGCCTCGCGAGAGACCCTGATCCAGAATCACTCAGCTAAGCTGCTCCTAGATTCCTGACTCTCAGAAACTGAGATAATAAATGCTTGTTGTCTTAAGCCACTGCATTTTGGGGTAATTTATTACACAGCAATAATTGATTATTACTACTAAAGCAAAATTTTTAAAAAATTCAAGAGCATGTAATATGAGGTTTGAAAGAGGTAAAAAGGTAGCCATTTAGCTTTTGCTTAAATGTTATAAGAAACAGGACATTCCAGTTAGCTGAACAACTGTTAAGAAAAAGTATTTTTTATGCTGGACTACAAGAATCTTAAATACATACATGCTATCTCCATTTTACAGATAAGGAAACTGAGGCTTGGAAAAGTTAAACAGCTTGGAAAAGTTGAGTACCCATAGTAACACATGTGACAAAATGGCAGAACTCAAGTAGAACATATGCTCATGCCACAGGCCCCAAACGATTAAGTTCATCTTCCATATAACAAAATTTTTAACATTTTACGAGTTAATTTTCAGAGTTTTATAGACTGAAGAACCACTGCTGAGGTAAACATTGCTAGATTCTTTACCATATCAGTTATATTCCAGTTGCTAAAATCCCCTTTGAAACGTGAAGCCCAGAACTAACTACAGATTTGCAGATGTGGTCTAAATTCTCAGCTCTGAACATTCCTTGGTATGTAAGATGATGTTCAAGGCACTATGCTTCTCACAAATCCTATTACTGTTTCTTTCTCTTCCAGTCAATAAATCATATTAGAACACATGCGAGTGAAGATACTATTATAAGAATAATCTTGTATTTGTTTAAATATATAATTTTTATAGTTCTGTACGTTTCCTCCATTATGTGCACTCCATTTTAGTGTAAAAATATGTGATTATATATATATAAATATAAAAGCATATATATACACACATACACTTTTAATATTTCAGCAAATGCAGCTTCTTAGTTGTAACATGCAGTTTCAGTTTTATTTTGGACTAGTCAGATTTTGTTTTCAAATTTGCTGCTCCCCTTTTAGTCTCCGGACTTATGTGGACTCCTACCTTTTATATGATCTGATACCTGATTTCTGGGATGGCAGGGTCAAAATTTCCTCTAAATCTTCTATTCAGTTCACTAAAATTGAAAGTGATAGTCATTTCTGTGTCAAATCTCAAATATGTACTAACCACAAGGACATTCACAATTTGGCTTTCTTGTAATGTGATACCAAGGACATAGGAGCAGCTTACTAAATGTTCAGTGATATAATATATTTGGTATGTGTGTGTTTATATGCCAGAGTTATGAAAGCAAGAGGCTGGATTATGTAATAAGTTTAACTGACAGAAACAGATAAGATTACATTTTTCAAAATCCATACCATTTCATTCTTCAGCAAAGCTAGTCCAATTTGGTCTGTGTGAACTTTCCTTCCCTTCCCAAATCTCTGTGGTCCATAGTAATTCACAAAGCCTTTTTTCTATGTATACAAAATAATCAACAAATTAAGAGTATACAAATACAATTATGTGTCAAAATACGTAATTGGATTTTTCTCTTCATATCTATTTTAATACAAGAAGTCTGTAATCAGCAGTATGCACATAGAGACCCAATAGTCTGAAAAATGCTATGCAATTAAAGAATAGGAGAGAAAACACAGAATTAGAAGTTAGAACATAAAACCAGTGAAGGAAACTTTAAAAATATGTCAGCGTTCCATTAATGTTACTGAGGAGTTTCCTGGTATGTGGGATTTTCAGTCCTAAAGCCAGAAAAGTTCTGGACATCCAATATGAGTTGTTTACCTAGCCCAGATCTGATCCCTGATGCTCTTTCTTATTTTGAGACTCTCTGACTGTCTGGAGATGTTGGGAATAAAGAACAGGCTCACTTTCAAACCCCACACATCTTGGTTCCTTTCTACGTAACCATTTGTTCTTTAGTTCATCTCAGTTTCTTAAAGCCTGACCTGAGACAATGGAGTCACTTCAGCAGTACTCGACTGGTCCAGCCATTTCAGCATCTGGAATAGTCTGTATTCCAGGGGAGGAATACAGAATTCACCTCTTAATGGAGATGAACCCTTCAGACCATGTTTTAAAACTGTCCCATTACTCAGAAGAAATAGAAAATTATAATTTATTACTGCAACCATTAAAGAAATTGGTTAGTCATTAAACATGTGCTCACAAAGAAAACATACAGGCCAAGATACTTTCTTCAAAGATAAAAGAGTCCTCCACACTTACTTTATGAGGGTATGCATTTCTTCAGTCAACAATTATTATTGAGTACCAACTAAAGAACTTTTTAATAAAAGATGCTGGGCCAATTTGTTATCAGCATGATACAAAAGCAACTGCATCTTTATCTCATGTCATTTAAAAAATTAATTGCAGATAGAATAAGTACTCCCTGAATTAAATCTCATAGTTAAATATTTTTAATTATTTCAAATTTGGAAAAATAACATCAGATGATATTCTAGAATAACCAGAAGAGTTTAAAGCTAACCCTTCAAATTACTTAGCTATAACAAAAGGTTTATAACAGAGATATAACCCGTTGAAACAAACCTTCAAAGACTCCTTATTTTCAGGATTTCTCAATTCCTTTCTCACATCACGAGAACGAATGGAAGTTGGCTAAAACTTAAGATTGTTTCTAATGGGAATTTTGTAATAGGCAGTTGTATATTCATAAATAACAAATGAAAGACAGGTAATAAACACTATCAAAGTTCAAAGGAACTTTTACCCTTTTTAAAGATATATCATTTTAGTAAAAATTTTTGAGAGAAAAAAAGGTAGAATTTTAGGTAGGTCAAGAAAAAAAAAAGATAAAATAACATATGATGTGGTTTGGCTGTGTCTCCACCAAATCTCATCTTGAATTGCAATCCCCACAGGTCATGGGAAGGACCAGGTGGGAAGTAATTGAATTATAGGGTCAGTTTCCCCCATGCTGTTCTCATGATAGTGAGTTCTTATGAGATCTGATGGTTTTATAAATGTCTGGCATTTCTCCTGCTGACATTCATTCTCTCTCCTGTCACCCTGTGAAGAGGTGCCTTCTGCCATGATTGTAAGTTTCTTAAGGCTTCCTCAGCCATATGGAACTGTGAGTCAATTAAACCTCTTTTCTTTATAAATTACCCAGTGCCGGGTATTTATTCATAGCAGCATAAGAACAGACTAACACAACATATAAAGGGTATACAATAAGAGAACTCCCATATACCGATAAAATTTCTGGATTTAAAAGATCTTTAGTTGGAAGATATTTTCCTAACTGCAATGCAGGTTAATAACCAGTGTTTGTTTGTTTGTTTTCCTGTTAGAGAGGAATAAAATTGTGTAAAAATGTCTTTGTGGTCAGAAATTTGGATCAGTGTTTCTTGGTATTGGCTCTAAAGTAGAATCACCTAAGAAGTTTTTAAAAAATAAGTACTAATGCCTAACCTGCATCCCTAAATGTTCTTTTTTAATTGGTTTGGGAGTAGAGATCAATGGGTGAAATTTTTAAAAAGCTCCTCAGGTTGAGAACTACTCATCTAGATCACGGATTAGCCAACTACTGCAGCCCACAAATGAAACCTGGTCCAACACCTGTTTTTGTAAATAACGTTTTATTGGAACACAGCCATGCTCGTTCACTTATATATCATCTGTGGCTGCTTCCATACAATGGCAGTAGATTAGCTGCAAGAGGAACCATATGTCTAAAAGGTCAAAATATTTATTATCCGATCCTTTACAGTAAAAATGTTGTTCATCTCCAATGTAGATGATCTAGTCTTGAAGATTATAGTTGTAGGTGCACATTTAAATGTCTGGAAAATGTCATTTAGAAACTTATGTTAGGTAATTTTTTTTTTTTTTTTTTTTTTTTTTTTTTTTTTTTTGAGACAGAGTTTCGCTCTTGTTACCCAGGCTGGAGTGCAATGGCGCGATCTCGGCTCATCGCAACCTCCGCCTCCTGGGTTCAGGCAATTCTCCTGCCTCAGCCTCCTGAGTAGCTGGGACTACAGGCACGCACCACCATGCCCAGCTAATTTTTTGTATTTTTAGTAGAGACGGGGTTTCACCATGTTGACCAGGATGGTCTCAATCTCTTGACCTCGTGATCCACCCGCCTCAGCCTCCCAAAGTGCTGGGATTACAGGCGTCAGCCACCGTGCCCGGCCAATTTTTTACTATAAAACATAATAAAGTTTGTGATATGGTTTGGCTGTGTCCCCACCCAAATCTCCTTTTGAATTGTAGTGTCCATAATCCCCACGTGCCATGGGAAGGACCCAGTGGGATTGCATCATGAAGGTTTTTACTCTCATGCTATTCTCATGATAGTGAGTGAGTTCTCACAGTATCTGATGGATTTGTAAGGGGCTTTTCCTCCTTTCCTTGGCACTTCTCCTTCTTGCCACCAAGGGAAGAAGGATGTGTTTGCTTCCCCTCTCTACCATGACTGTAGGTTTCCTGAGGCCACCCCAGCCATGCTGAATGTGAGTCAACTAAACCCAGTCTCAGGTATGTCTTCACTAGCAGCTTGAGAATGGACTAATACAGTGTGTATGATCTATAATTTATATACATCAAAATTTCCAAAAAATAAATTCCCTTGACTAGATACTACTCTACATAGATATAGCAGATGCTTAAAAAAAACTCTCTCTTATAAATATAGATTATCCCCCTTCTCTAGAGAATGCCATACCTTGCATTTTAAAAATCATGTTTATATATTTTGTTTCGTTTAAATACAAAAATGTATTAAGCTAAAAATAAAATATAAGCCAAATGGCCCTAATTATCACTGTAAAAAATAATTATCACTTTTTTAAAATCCCATGAAAAGGAACAAAAGAAAAAGAAGTTTCCCTTCTTGCCTCAGTGTAGAAAAAGGGACTATGAAGATTTCCCCAGATACTCTTTTAAAATTAAGTTTTCTTACCTTAACATTTTCTATTGCCTCTGAAATTCTCTCTCTCAGGTTTGTAGAATCATTTATTTGTTTTTTTAAATTTCTAATGACAATATCGAAGTGATTTCCTTTGAGCTGACCAAGTCTTAGGGAATCATTTACAGACCGTATATTAAAGACATTCATTCTTTTCTTTTCAATTTCTTTTTCAATATTTTTCAACCTGTAAGTAATAAATCATATAAACTCAGTTAAATCTTACATTTAAAAATTAATATAAGGTTTTCAGTGGCAGTTGCCAAGCAATTAGTATTCTTCTAGGAGACTACTAATATAATTTTTTTTAGAATATTCTGAAGTTAATGTTATTTCACCAAATGTGTGCTTAGTACCCATCACTATAGGATTACAATAACAGAATTATTTTAAAAACTTGAACATACATTACTAATGCTATCACTCTTCTTAGGTAGGCCTTCTGACTTCTCCTTAGCTCAAGTGACAGAACCTCCTAGCAGTTCTCCTGATCTTCCTGTCCCCAACTCTGTTCCTTTTCTTCTCAGTCTCTTTCCCCAACATTACTAAGAAAAATCACTAGCACCAGAGGATTTTCCTGAAATTCTACTCTGAACACTTCCTTACTCAAACTTTCAATTCTTCCCAACATCGAAAGAATTGATATTTTCAATATTTCTATAGTAACTTGTATGATCCTATAGTAACTTGTATAAAATTTCCTTTATAGCCATATTTTCCATAGTCCTTATAGGAATTATACATGTGACAGACTGTTGCATGTACTGCCCTGCAAGTATATCTCCAGTTTTTTGCATCTGCTAAAGTCTTACTATTACTTGAAGTGTAATTAAAATTCCAGACTGATAAGCTAAATCAAAGTAATCTCCCCTCCTAAGAGGAGAGCTTTCATCTTAAATACATTTTAACATCTAAAGTCCTTCTTCTGCCCTATCCTGCACTTCTTGACCACAAAAGCAAAATCATACACTTCTTTTTGTACTCCACATAAGAGCTTAGAAGCACTCAGAAGAGTCTACTTGCATATAGTGGATATTTAAACATCTGTTAACTAAGAATTAATATATTGATATTACATTAATTAGGCTGAATTTTGACCAAATATTCACATTTTGAAGTTTATCTTAAGGAAATTATCTATAAATTACAGATTTAAGTATAAAAATATTAATCATGGTATTATTTACAGTGAAAAACTAGAATTTCAATTTTCAAAAACAGGGAATGTTAAAAGAAATTAGTCTTTATGATAGACATAATTTTGAAATATTTCATGATATAAATTTTCATCTAACAAGATTATTTTATCAAGTAAAATATAAATTGTATACATAGTTTGATTTTCATATATATAATAAGTGTTGGCCAGGTGCAGTGGCTCAGGCCTGTAATCGCAGCACTTTCAGAGGCCGAAGCAGGTGGAACATCTGAGGTCAGGAGTTCGAGACCAGCCTGGCCAACATGGTGAAACCCTGCATCTACTAAAAATACAAAAATTAGCCAGATATGGTGGTGGGTGCCTGTAATCCCAGCTACTCAGGAAGCTGATGCAGGAGAATCACTTGAACCCAGGAGGCAGAGGTTATAGGGAGCTGGGATTATGCCATTGCACTGCAGTCTGGGAAATAAGAGCAAAATTACATCTCAAAAAAATAAAAAATAAATAAACATTTCTGTGTGATACAGTCTCTGAAAAAGGTTTAGAGAGAAATAAAAAATGTTATTGCAGGTTTTTTTTTCCTTTTTTTTTCTTTTGAGACAGTCTCATTCTATGATCTAGGCTGGAGTGCAGTGGCACCGTCCCAGCTCACTGCAACGCCCCCACCTTCAAGGTTCAAGCAATTCTCTGGCCTCAGCCTCCTGAGTAGCTGGGATTACAGGTGTGTGCCACCCCACCCAGCTAATTTTTTATATTTTTGGTAGAGATGGGGTTTTACCATGTTTGGCCAGGCTGGTCTCGAACTCCTGGCCTCAAGCAATTCACCTGCCTCGGCCTCCCAAAGTTCTGGGATTACAGGCGTGAGCCACCGTGCTCGACCTATTGCAGTTACTTCTGAGTAGTAAGCTTATTAGTAACTTCATTTTTTAAAAACTTGTTTGTGTTTTCTATAATAAATATATGTCTTTTACATTTACAAAAATATTTATGAAATTTGATTAAGCTGACAGAAGCTAAATTTGAGTACTTTACATTCTACTTAATAAGGATTTATTTTAAATGTAAGGCTCCATCATAATAAAGCCATAATATAATTAATTAGAAAAACATGATTTATAAGATACTTTCCTGAATAAAAGTTCATATTTGAATACAGTACAGGATGTTTAGAAACAATTTAGACAATTTAAATCTGCCGCTTGTCAAAGTTTCAATCCTAAAACTTCCTATATTTTCAGTGCAAACTTAAGACATATCTCTATTTAGAAGATACTTATGAATGCAGAATGTGATATTCAATAAACTTGTAATTCATGAATATTGATAGTGATGTTAATGTGCTCCCAGTATTATTCTGAGCTATGAAAGTAAAGGTCAGTCTTATAAAGTAATATCTTATTACCTCTCTGGAGTCACTTTTCTAACAACCATTGTTTGATAGGTGATGGCTTTCTTGTCTTTAAGGCCTGCATAACTAAAATCCGAAGGAATCACACCAAGTTTGATAGCTAAAAAACCAATTGCTTCAAACATTTCCAGGTTTTCCTTTCGTAGGGTAAAGGCTGAAACAAAAAAATCTTAGATCACAAAAAAAGCAGCTACTGTATATCAGTTACATTCTTAGCTGACTAACAGATTAGTATAATGAATCAGACTATTATTGTAAGGAGTATTTTTTAATGAAAATATAAAATCAGCATGATAGATGAGGCAAAAAATCCAAATTCCTTCATCTGTCATTCATATCTGGCCCAAATCTACCTTTCCAGGCTCCAAGTGTACCACTTCCTTTCATATGTCCTATGACCTGACACAGAGAACATCTCGTAATCCCTGGATTAGCTAGAGCCTTCAGCAGTTTTGTACTTTTGTACATCTAAGTCCTCTGTCTAAAACACGTGTTCCCCTTCTATGTTCACCACAGAACTATTCAGAATAGCAAAGACATGGAATCAACCCAGGTGCCCAACAAGAGTGGATTTGATAAAATGTAGCTGGGTACAGTGGTTCATGCCTGTAATCCTAGCACTCTGAGAGGCTGAGGCGGAAGGATTCCAAGAGCAAGCTATCTAAGACTAGGCTGGTCAACATATGGAGACCCCATCTCTACAAAAAATTAAAATGTTAGCCAGGTGTGGTAGCACACACCTGTGGTTGGAGCTATCCAGGGGGCTGAAAGGGGAAGCCTGCTTGAGCCTAGGAGGTCGAAGCAGTAGCAAGCCATGATGGTGCCACTGCTTTTCAGCCTGGGTGAAGGAGTGACAGAGACCCTGTTTCAAAGAAAAAAAAAAAAGTGGTACATGTACACCATGAAATACTACACAGCCATTAAAAAGAGCAGACTCATGTCCCTTGCAGCAACATGGATGCCGCTGGAGGCTGTTATCCTAAGCGAATTAACAAAGGAGCAGAAAACCAAATACCTCGTGTTCTCACTTATAAGTAGGAGCTAAACACTGGGTACAGATGGACATAAAAATGGGTCTATAAGAGGTAGGAGGGAGGAAGGGCATAGACTGAAAAACCACCTATTAGGTACTATGCTCACTACCTGGGTAATGGGTTCAATTGTACCCCAAACCTCATCATCACACGATACGCCCTTGTAACAAATCTGCACATGTATGCCCTGAAACTAAAATAAAAATTAAAAAATAAAATGTGTTCCCTCCATTTATTATTTGTCTTACTTCTATGCATTCTTGAAGGTCCAACAGCAGCAGCCATTCACCCTGACAGTTTTGGAGATGTCATTCAAGAAACTCAGCAGTTTAAAAGAAATCCCCAACTTGTCTGAGATATCAGTTTGTTGCTGATAGCAGCCTAGGTGGATAAGCATTTTTTTCACCCATTAAGATTTAGAATTTAGTATAGAAATATGTTTAAGAGAATCAAATTCATGATGTTATATTAATATTAATCTGTATCTACATAAAACTGTACACACTTGAATGTTTAAGAGAATGAAATTTGTAGTCCCAATTTAAAATATTTAATTGATTTACATTTGTCTTTTTACATTGTTGAGTTAAGAGGCTAGATACTGGAATTCAGGAATGCCGAGTAGGCTGGAATTCACAGGGAGAGTACCAGATAAGACAAAGCTTTCTGGATGAGTTTCAGAAATCTGCATACGTGGCTCCTTGAGTTTGTTGCTGATCAGTAATTTGTGCATGTCAAATGTTAAATGCTATGTATTATTTATTGTTATGTAACAAGTCACCTTAAACTTTAGTGGCTTACAATATTCATTTATCTCCTGCAGTTTCTGTGCATCAGGACTTCAAGAACAGTTTGGTTTGGTGGCTCTAGCTCAGGCTCTCATGAGGTTGTATGCAGTTAGATATGGCTAGGGCTGCAGCTATTTTAAAGCCCAAAAGAAACTGAAGGATCCATTTCCAAACGGGCTCATTCACATGGCTGGCCGGTTGGTACTGGCTGTTGGCATGAAGTACCACTGTCCAAAGGGCTGCTTGAGTATGCTCATAGTACAGTAGCTGGCTTTCCCCAGAGTGAGCAATCCAAGAACATGACAAAAAGCACAATACTTTATAACCTAGCCTCAGAAATCACGTCACATCCACATTTTCCCTCAAATTCTTTCCAAGTCCCAAGGCTGAATGCTTCTAAATCAAATATCATGTGTGCTTTATTGACCATTATACCCCATCCACTGGCAGATGAATGGGTAAACAAAATGTGGCATACACTTACCGTGGGGTATTATTCAGCCTTAAAAGGGAAGGAAATGCTAACATAATGCTACAACATGAATGAATCTCAAAAGCATGCTAAGTGAAGTAAGCCCATTACAAAAAGACAAATACTGTATGATTCCACTTATATGCGATACCTAGAGTTGTCTAATTCATAAAGACAGAATGCAAAATGGTGGCTGCCAAGAGGTAGAGAGATGGAGGGATTGTTTAATGAATATGGAGTTTTAGTTTTAGTTTCACCATAGTTCCTATGGTGAAAAAATTCTGAAGATGAATGGTGCTGATGGTTGTACAACAAGGTGAATGACCTCAACGCCACTGATGCTTAAAAATGGTTAAGATGGTACATTTTATGTTATATATATTTAACATAGCTTAAAATTTAAAATAAAAGGTTTTTTGAACCATCATCCCTCCTTTTAACATATGCCTCCAACAATTCACAACTTTAGAAAAACTAATATAAACAAAGTTCCTACAATTTTTTTTACTCATTAACCCAAATTAATATTGTTAGAATTTCAAGCAGCATAAAATAAATAAGAATTCCTAGAGCTGCTTAAATCACTAACCAGCAATTCCTCTCTCTATGCGTAAAGCTAGTATTCTTTTTCCTTCAAAATAGATATATCTGTTAACACTTACCATATGCCTATTATGTCAAGTTATACATGCACATATATATTTAATACATACATGACCAGACAAATTATCAGAAGGGAAAGAAATAAAAGACACTAACATTTAAGTAACTATTATGTAGTAAGCAATTTCATTATTTCATTTAATACTTAGAATATCATTGTGAGTCAGGCTTTCCTATTACCCCATTTTTCAAATACAACCAAAAGTTATGAATTATTAAGTAACTTACCCATGGTATTATTCTTCCCATTTTTATATTTGTGAAATCAAATCTTAAAGATGTTAAAAATTGTCATAAGTCTTTTTGTGAACTAAAAGTCATAATATAAAATCAAACCCACATAGTTCCAAGGTCCAAACCCTTTTCATTTGTACCTGTAGTCCCTATATGGCACCATCCTATTTCTGTGTAACTGTGCAAATTTAAGTTGCTGATTTTATCTTAAAATACCTTGGTAAATAAACTTATTAAATATGATTATCTGAAACATTTCCCATCCTTCAAGTAGAATTGAGGCCAATTAAACACGGTCATCTGGACTTTTACAGTGAGAATTCATCAGTTCCATTCACCCTGGGAATTAAACACAAACCCTAAAACCATGATTCTCAAAATGTAGTCCGCAGATCAGCAAAAAAAACATTGCCTGCAAATTTGTGAACGCTCCAGAATCAGAAACTGAGAATGGGGCTCTGAAATCTGTTTTAACAAGACCTTTTGATGATTATATGCATGCTAAAGTTTCAGCACATGTTGTCTAGAAGACTGGCAGGACAAGTTTTCAGGTTCCCTACCCTGGGTAGGGAAATATAATTTGTTTTGGATTACAAAGTATCTCTTCACTTTCCCAAGCACAGTAAATATATTATCCTTATCTCCAAAAACTTAATTTTAATTGAGATGACTTCAAAAATATGAAGTCAAGATTTACCTTCAATAAACGTATTAAACACAAACCAACTGCTTCGACTTTATACATTTGTGACTAGGCTAATATAAATGCCTAGGTTATCAGTAAGGCTAATTTTTATATTCAGTGTAATTTGAAAGGTTTTATCATCTTCCACTAAGTTACAGAATAAATAAGAATTCCTCGAGTTGCTTAAATTGCTTATCAGCAATTCTTCTCCCTACAGGTAAAGCATATATTCTTTCCAATCTCTCTAGCCAAGTCTATTCAATTCATTTCCACAATTTTACATTTCACTAAGCTTATCCAAGAAAATGGATCATGATTTATTAAATTACCTGTATATATAACTTTTCCTTCTTGGCATTCAGGAAGTGGCCTTTTCCCACGCTTGTGTGCTTTTTCCCGAAATCTTACTGTTATCACCACATTTGAATTACCAGCACTGCAATTCATTTCAGAAAAAGATTTGGTTTCCACAAGATTTCCAAACTTTTTGTTGACAAAATGGTGGACAGCTTTTCTGTGGCCTTTGTTTGCATCAGGTTTAAAGGTAAATTTGGAATTTTCTTTCTTTGCATCCAAATATTTAAAAAAGTCAAAAGCTTCCTCTTCTGACACCAAATGACAAAGTTCTTTATACTCAAGATTTGGCTTTACAATAATTTCACTGTTTTTTCCTACAGTTATTAAAAACGGAAATTTCTGCCTAATGCCACTATGTAAACTAGCCCTCTGGTTTTTGTCAAGGATTCTGCCTATTGAGAATTCAGGAGGTGGTCCAATTAGCTCTGTTTTAGAAAGCCACTTCTCTTTTATACCACAAGCAAAATGATTCAGTAACTCATGAGTTTTTTCATCTAAAAAGGAGCTTAAAACATCAGCTTTTTCTTCACATTTGGAAGTTCCATCACTGATAGTATCTTCCTTTTCTGAACCAGACTGATGATTTTGGTCACCATCAGTGTACTTAACCAAAGTATTAACTTCTTGCTTTCTTCCATCTTCAAAGGACAGGTTTTGAAGATCTGGTTTTGGTTTTTTGGGAAAATTATTTGGCTCAGGTTGTATTTCACTAATCTTGAAAATAGGCCCATTAGTGGTCTTATTAACTAACTGTCCCTGTTCATCAATTTCAATAACAATAAAGTCACTTGGTGAGCTTTTTATAGTGCCATGAAATCCAACATGATCATTAAAGAAACACAAAGAACTAAACCTGATTCTATAATCTGTATCTTCTTCCATTCTTCTATCATAATGACTAGAAAACAAAAAACAAAGAGGTAATTACCAGAAAGAGAAGTTATAGATGACCAAATAGGAATAGGTTTGCAAGATTTCGTTAATTCGTCTCTCTTTTAATGCTGAGTCTTCTTAAATGGCATCATTAACTTAATTTATGGCTATATGTACATCCTGTATACTTTGACTTTCCTATACCAAGCTGAATTAATAGGCAAACTATTTCTGGTATAGCTAGAGATTTGGTAACTTGTACCTTCACTCACTCTAGATTTGTACCTATTATCCAGGATTAAAATGAGTCAATTTTAAGTTTGTCTTAAAAATACCATTTGTAGGCCCACAAGAAGAAGTGACAACACAGGACTATAAAACAAAGATCTGTCCAAATTCCATTCCTGGATCCTAAAACTTCCAGCTAATTCCAGAGAATATGTGGCTAAGTTTTCTTGTATTATTAGTGGTTAGTGACAGGAGAGGTAACAAGAAGACAATAGGAAAACTGATGGGTAAATGAAGTTATAAATACAAATTTGCAATTTGATTATATTTCAAGGTAGGATTAAGTTAGACCTTGACCTTCTCTAATGCCCCCATTAGGATATACAGAAGCTTTTGAGGTTGACCCAAAGGAAAGGTCTAACTATATCATTGGCATTAGAGAGAAGAAACCCTTACAGAGCTTCCTGGGAACACACCACCAGAGAACAGTACTCTGATCTCTGACTTTTCACACAAACCTATGGCTACCATACCATATGGAGCTGCGGGAAAGAGAAATTGCCCAGGGGCTCCATACTACTGAGTTCTGTGTTTACCCACATTCTCCAAGTAATTTATTATCATCTGGACCATCATCTCATTTCTATAATGTACTCTACCAATCTGAACAATTTAGCAAATCACACCCCTTCTCAATCCTTTAGCTCGTGCCATATAGAAATCACAGCAAATTCTCTATATCCCAATTTCCTAAGGAATATATAAGATATGTTTACTTTCCTTAATTACTTAATTTCCTGTACAGTTCCCTCACTTTCTTGCCCTAATTGAAACCTGGCTATTTCTTTAGGCTGCTGCTTCTTTAGTCCTCTCAAGTGAGGGCTATTTTTTCTTTCCCACCCATCTACCTTAGGACCTAGAGGCTATAAACATGTTCTATATCACTGTTCCTTGCAAGCCATTTCTGTCTCTACTACCTCCAAAACCCCAAATCTTCTGAAGAGCCTGCCATCAGGCTTTACCATCTGCTGTCATCCTCTCTCAGATCCCCAGACAACTCCTCTTCATTCACTGATCTTTGCCTCACTACCTTCTTATCCAACATGTTTTCATGATCATCTATATGGATCATCCATTCAATGTCTTGGACCCTCAGGTCCTCAGTCTCAGGCTCAACCTCCCACCTCTACTTCATCTTGGTCATCCACTGTCATGATGATAACTGACTTTCTCATCTCCAAAAACTGCATTAACCTTAAGTATCTGATTCTTATCACTCCCACTGCCCTTCATCACACCTACTTTAGTACTTCCATTCCAAAAACTTTTAGATGTTGTGAAACAACTCCTGCTTCTACAACTAGCCCACTATAGACCATTATCCAGCCAGAATGGTATCTTAAAATGTAAGTTAAATCATATCACAATCCAGTTTAAAATCCTCTAATCACATTTGCAATAAGATTCAAATTACTTACTCTGGCTTCCAAAGACATCTAAGATTAGGAACCCTATTTATTCTCCAAGCTCATTTTGTACCTTTGCCCCATTACCCACTATACTCCAGCTACTCTGGCCTTCTTCAGTGCTTTTGTGCTAACTGTTCCTGTTGATTAAACTGTTCCTTCCCCAATCATATAGTTGCATCTTTTAGGATTCAGGTCCTTAGATAAGTTTTTCCTGACCAATAATCTATAGGAACCTGCAAGTGATCCTCTTTCACAAAACCCTATTTAATTTTCTGCATAGCAGTTCTAGCTAACATTTTTCTTTATTATTTATTGTCTACCTCCTCCAAAGAGAATGTTAGTTCCACTTGAAAAGTAACCTTGTCTGCCTTATTTACTACTGATGATCCCACATTTTGAACAGTGTTAAGCACATGGTGGGTCTGCAATAAATACTAATTGTTGAATAAATGAAATAACTAGTAAAAAATAAGAGCTGTGAGAATGTAGTAGAAGATAATTAGGAGAGGCATAATGCAAGAAGTGGCCAAGTTCTCAAATAGTTCAAGCGATAGAAATGAGGCAGAAACCTCACAAGTAATGTACAAACAAAACATGCAATGTGTGAGAGAAAAATAAGCAGCCCAGATACAGAGCAGTGGGGATGGGGATGCAGGAAGAGTACAGTGCTGGAAAATAGCTGAGTTAGTATCAGATGATGGAAGATGCTGAATGCCCTGACAAGGACTTAGAATTTACTGTGTGGTCAATGGACGGTTAGTATTTGAGTAGAAATGTGACACAATCCCAGAACATGCTTTAGTAAGATGATTCTGATGGAAGTGAGTATCCGATGGAGTAACAGTTCGAGCAGTTTAAAAACAAAACAGGGTGGTCAAGAACACAGCTGTAGGGACTGGCCCTGAAAGAATAACGATCTTTTCCTTCTTCCTGAAAAAAGAAGGAAGATAGACATTCTAAGCAAGTGAAACAGGTAGGGAAACTTGGGGAGAAATGACGGAATTCCAGCATCCTGGTAGAAGAGTGGAACCGAACTGGAGGGCAGCAAAGGAGCCCACGTGGCGTTAAGCCTGAAGGTGCAGAGTTCCCATTCAACAGATACTGCTGATGACAGTGAGGGGCAGGGGTGGGGATGGGGGATGCAGTTTGCTTGGCCCGTGGTTGAGGAATTCTTTGGTTGAGGAGGGATCCTGGGAAGGTATTAGAAATACTGAATCCAGTCCTGCAGAAGCTACTACACTTCACAGAACGAGGGTACATCCAAAGGTGTCCCCGACAAGGCCAGCAGCCCTACTTGTTTCTTCTCCTTCCCCTAACCCTACCTGTCCAAAGGCGCGACACTAGCCCACGTCACCCTTCTTTGGGGGCAAAGGGTATGGATCCTCAATGCCGATCTCGTCACCACCCCACAGACAAGCCACCCACCGCGCAAGAAGCTGGACCCGGTCTACCTCGGCTCAATGGAAGAAATTCATTTGCACAACGCCGTGCGCATGCCCGGAAGTCTTAAGTGGTTCAGCCACCGACAGGGCGTATTTAAAGGGGCAGGCGCCACGTAAAGACCCGCCCTACGCAAGACGTGGAGTTTCTCACCTAGCGGAGCCGCCTGGAGGCGCCAAGATGAAGCCATCAGGGAAGTGGGGCGGAGCCTGCTGGGTTGGCCCCGCCCCACCGCGGCATTTCCTAGTTCGCTGATTCTTCCGTTGCCTGCTTCAACAGCCCGCGACCGGGCAGGTAAGGTATTCCTCACCTGCGCGCCCCAGTCAAAGGTCGTCCGAGGTCCGCGTCCAGGCCTCGGTCTCTCTGCCCCAGGGTTGCCGGGGTCGGCTGAGGAACGGAAATCGCTTTCTTATCCGTAAGAAAAGTTAGAGAGGAAGTGGGTTGCTTGGACAGAGCTTACTCCTGAAGAAAGACTTGGGTGGGTCCCCGTGAATCTAGAAGTTCGTCGGCCCTGAGTAAGAGCCTGAGTCTCGGAGGGGCGTCAGCCAGCTGTTCTGGGGCGCAGTCGGACCTCAAGTTTCTCACCTCCCTTGCTCTGGGTTCCGTGAGTCCCTTTGCGAAATGAAGTCTGTTTTCCCCAGAACCAGGAAGTCAGGCCAGCACCTGGCAGAGATGCCTGTGACGCTGACAGCTCGCGGAGCCTTCACAGGATTGTAATTCGCTTGTTTCTCTGGCCTCCAAGCTTCCAGGGAATTAGACAGTGGAGCGGGCTTACGGGATCAGATGAGAACATTCGCAGAGGTGGAGTGGGGGGTATACCTGCCATCTTGGAAGCCAGAGGGGAGAGAGACAAAGGGATGAAAGCAAACCCTGAGAAAGCACTTTGAGCATTTTAGAATGGGAACAAATGGCACTATTATTGCCTCCAAAACGTAACTGCCCCAGGCCCCTTATAAGCCGAGGATATTAAAATCTGCCTCTTCCCTTTCTTAGAGTGATCCTTGAAGAAGGCAATCGGGAAGTTCAAATTTCTTCTGTTTTCGTACAAAGTGTTCATTTGAAGTTTGCCTTATACCTCTCCAAACCAAGCCTCTAATGTTCCAGGCCGAACTTGCACCTTCCTGAGCCTTCTCCATCTCAGTAAACATTGGGAAACTTGGTTATGCCAAAAACCTTGGTGCCAGTCTTCTCACGCTCCGCATCAGCCCATAGCTTTCTATTGGCCTCACCTCCGAATCCTAGGACTTCTGCACTTGCTCTGCTAACACCCTGGTCCTAGCCTCCAGCCCCTCCCACCTGGCTTATTGGTACGCTCTCCTAAATCCTCCCTTTCTTGCTTTTCTGCCCTTACTCCAACATCCTTTATTCCCAGCAGCCCCAGTATCCTTTCAAGACCATGAGTATAGAGCATGTCTCCCTTTTTTCTGAAAACTTCCAGGTGGCCGGGCGCGATGGCTCACGCCTGTAATCCCAGCACTTTGGGAGGCCAAGGCAGGCGGATCACGAGGTCAAGAGATCGAGACTATCCTGGCCAACACGGTGAAACTCCGTCTCTACTAAAAAAAAAAAATGCAAAAATTAGCTGGGCATGGTGGCGCATGCCTGTAGTTCCAGCTACTCGGGAGGCTGAGGCAGGAGAATTGCTTGAACCCGGGAGGCGGAGGTTGCAGTGAGCCGAGATCG